AAGATACGCAGTAATATACACTTATAGCAATGTACACATGAAATGACAGACAGGCAAACAGTAAATAGCTTTGAAAAAAGCAAACATTTAGTAAACTAAAGCTTTCGGTCTGACACTCTTCAGAGTTTAATAACGTCAGAACATAGATCGAAACTCTACGGCTAAGAAAATATATAAACCAGTTGTGGATCGAAATAGGCCAATCAGAAACACGAGCACATGACTGTAAAGGTTGACCCAATCAGTGCCAATCAGTGACCAATCAACCTTTACAGTATGTGCTCGTTGTTTCTGATTGGCCTATTTCGATTCACATACGATATATATATTTCTTAGCGTAGAGTTTTCGATCTATGTTCTGACGTTTTAAACTCTGAAGAGTGTCAGACGAAAAGCTTTAGTTTACTAAATGTTTGCTTTTTTCAAAGCTATTTACAAGTTTTGTACCACCAAAAGATTGTTTGCAAACAGTAAAGTTCAGTATCTTGTGTGAGGATCGTGAAATATATTTTCAAAAACAACTAAATATCTAACGGATTGTCAGTGATATTGCTACAAGAGCATAGATTCTAACAAATCAAAACTGTTACAAAACTTCAAATCCTTTGACTACAAGTTTTATTGCATGAACTTTTAATGATACGAGTCAGGCCTTTAATTTCTAAGTGTTACTGTTTATATTTTCATTAGCATTTACGGCGACTTTCATTGTGGGTTCAATTGAAATGCGAACTGTGTATATTAATTTATTTTGTCAACAGGATAAATGTGAAGTGTTTTATGCATTAAGATTCTGGTCTAAATGAAGTAATTAACTTAGAGTTTCGTCGTATTATGATTGTAATTCTAATTATGCCGATTGCTCTTCAGAATTTGGTTTTTAATAGAGTTGGTGGTGGTAGAGGCTTGTTAAATAAAGTTGTAATCGTTCTTCTTAATTACCTACTGCTATATTCAGAGCTAAATATTCTTCTTTGCGGATTCAGAACTCTATTATTCATCACTGCATGGTAAAAATAAAACGTTTAAGATATTCAGGAACCCGAAGCGGTGGCAAATTAAGCGGCATCAACGTGAAAGATTTGCGAATTCTACGACCATTTCAGCTCGCATGCCTAGCCACGGAGCATAACACGAAGATAGAACTTAACAGCACACTTCCACTCTTTAGGCTTGAGGAAACAGTCCTCCCTTCAAAGGCAAGTTACAGGATAATTTTTGCTCATAAAGGTGGACAGTAGGCAAATCTCCGCGCTAATGTACGTCAATGAAGGCTAGAAACCTTATATCATTCCAGGAAATGGGAAGCAAAGTATAGATTCCTTAGAAACAAACAAGCCACAAGGGTCTTGCGAATCTAGCATAATTTAGAAACCCTTTTTAAGGCATATAAACACTGGAAAAACTTCAATGGAGAAATAATCTAGAATCTTTTTTAATAATCAGCTAAGTATCGTCAGTTAACTTAATCTACAACCAATTCCATAAATGACTTATCACCAACCTTTAGTAAAAGACTAAAAGAGAGAACTTGAAAAAAGCAACAACTTGAAGTCACTTTAAGGTTACGGTAAACGTTTTTGACACGATATTTGGTTTTCTCTCCCTGAAGGCCAAACTATTAACGGAATCGGATTAAACTATACATCATACGATGCACAAGAATGTCGTGATTCCGGGCAGATCAAAATAATTGGCAAACATTGTAAAATGATACATTCCAGGCACATTTATTGCTTAAATGACTGTTCCACCTATAAAAGCTATTTTGTACCCTGGCATTTGAGGTATCAAGATCTGACTTATATCAATAGAAAGCGCAGATCCTAAGCTACCAAATAGTGTCTCAAATTTTCTAAATTCTTCCTCCCCTTGAAACTATACCCTGTCAAAAATTGACAAATAATTTCTCTTAATTTCCCTCCCAAAGCTTTATTTGGCTATAAAAAAAGGACCAGAGCATATATAAAAATTTTCAGATACTTTGCTTACCCGAGATATGTCCTGGCTAAGTGCAAAGTTTTGGGCCTTTCGATTGGTTCCTTGGGTCCAAAAAAGCTTTTTCGTACCTGTATGTAGAGAAATAGGAAGTCTAGAGAAAATGGAGTTTTACTAATTGCACTTGCAAGGGACACTGGTAAACCACAATGTAATCCGGGTCAAGTCACTTGAAGCTTAAGATCATTAAACCTGTTTAAATAAACACAGCCATACATTATGTGCCATGCGAAATTTTAAAAGAAACATGCGACCACAACGCAAAGCAACGATAATCGGCTCAACAGGTCAAGAGATTTTCAGGCCTCAACTAAAAGATTTGATAAAGAAATCATGGAAACCTTCGCTTACATGGGATTTTTTCCATTTTAAAAATGTCTGTTAGTTTCAAATTTGGTATCATTGTGTGCCTTGAAAGTTCGCCTACTTGAATGTGAAATAATCGAAAATTTATGTTTTTATCCAGAATACGTTTACCGTAACCTTACATCTTTGTGTAGTTTGCAAAAATTTGAATCTCCAGGCATGAACACCATCAATAAACAAAACTTCAGATCCTGTTTATAATTTTCGCCAGGAACAATAGAATAACGGCTATTAGGGGACACAAGCTACAGGGTGGGTCATGAAAACTCAAAAAACTAAACCTATCTATCCGTCTTGGCGATCTAAAAACAGTATTGGTAACGAGGCCGTAAATAATTTCTACTGAAGAAATTTGGATTATGAAATGAATGTGGAGCGATTATCTGCAATTACAACATGAGATAAGAAGCTCACTGAGAAAGCTGGAGCACTTTATCAACTACTAATTTGTATTTAACTTTGTTGTAGCAAACCATGTTCTGAGTTAACACATTGCGTTGATTTTTGTGTTTCCTGGTGAAACTCAGGGGTGGGTTTGAATTTTAGCCAAGTTTGGTGCCATAGAGGTGACAAAAAAAAGATTTCTACGAACGAACCTCGAACACTGAAATTCGTACCAGTATCAGGTGAAGTTGCAAAAACACCGAAGCATTATCTAAAATAGTTAGAAAATATATTTGATTTATCAGTAGAGAAACGCATACCTGGCGGGTAATCAATAGACTTATCTGAAAGCTAGCCCTCATCGAAACGTCTATGGTTGAGAATCAAAACTGAATCAGGTATATGCAAGCAAGGCGAGATCCATACTTTATCAAAACCGCAAATACCCCTAGATAAACAAAGGGAATGAAAACGCGAAAAAACACAAACCTCACCCTAGCTTTATAAGTCAAGTCCTCAGGAGGCCGAAAGACTCCCGCATTGTCCATTAACTGGTAAAGCAGATACAAGAAAAACGTGAGGAAGGAGGGCACATGAGACCATAATGAATAGGAAATAGTAAAAATCTCAAGCGAATTAGTTAAGGCACAAAAGCATCTCGAGAAATCGACTCTGATGTAATATAATTTAATCATCATGCCACCTTCAGCTTCTGCTTCAGTGCAACTAGAGAACAAAAACTGTTATATTCTACGTGTTTTATTCTACGTGCACGTGATTGGCTGTCGGAATTTTTGTTGAGCTGGATGGAACATCCAATTCAACAAATTAGCATCCTTAGCTATACTAATTACGATATATGATCACTATATTCTCAAATTTACAGGGATAAAGTTAAGAATTGTGAAACGAAAAACGTAGCAAACAGAAAGTTAAGGATAAAGATTAGCGAATGTGTTATGTTTTAGAAACTTAGAGGATACCCGTTTAATGAGATGAGGTCATGAGAATGTTAAGAAATGAATGAGTAGAAAAATAACGTGAACAAGCTTATGCAGAGTGAATACAAATGTGTATCTGAATACGTTTCCGCTATTGAGCAATTAACACTCAGCTCTAGTATCTTGTTGCTGAGTGTTGTGAGTGAGTCAAATAACATAAAAAACTATTTACAACGAATTCAATCCATGTTCTTGACGAGTAGCCTAACTATCTGTCCGTAACAATAAGACCTCTCTCTAACTACTCTAGCAGCATGAAGTTCTATTAACAATGCGTGACGTGGTCAACACGTCGAGGGCCTGGACTATGGTGGCCCAGCATTCTCATTCAAAAAACAGAAACATATTCTATGAAATATAAAAAAATCACAGATATTTGTGATAAATTTGACATTAAATTCCATTTATTTTCTTGAAGTTTAAAATAACATGTCAAAAAGCAGAATAAAATAATAAAACAATCAAAGAAACATTTCCATTTCCAAGTTTCAAATAGGATTTTTTCTTTTTGTTTGAAAATCACATTGAAAGTCGTCAAAAGAAAGATTTTCGTTTTCATTTTCAAAATGAAATGTCACGATCGGCCCAGCGTTCTCATAGACCACAATGCTTTGCAAGAATAAGCGCCTCATTTCCATGCAGCTTTTCGCGCCCTTTTCGATTTTCTAAATAAATTACCTTTGGCTTATGTAGCCAAAAAAGGGAGATTTTGCTCCATATTGCTGCAGAATATAAAAGAAATAACGAATAGACAGAGGATAACGAACTCCAAAAATTTATTCGTTGTATGGTTGCCAGAAACTTGCGAAGAGCTGAAATTCTTGACTTTCTGCAAAGGGATTTTTCTCAGTACGCTTGGAGCCCTGGTACATTAAGTAGGCGCATGAAACATTTTGCAATAAAATTCGTCGACTACGATACAACTGTAGATCAAGTAGGTGAGGCATTTAATGCAGAAAAAGATGGTCCAGATCAGTCATTAGGCTACCGTGCTATGCACAAGAGAATCAGAGAGCAGTATGGCCTTCATGTTCCCAATGGACTTTTGTTTACCATGTAATGACCCTTGGTGACAATGAAGGACTAATTCAACGGAGAAAAAAGTTGGGAAAAAAAGAAGAAGGGGTAAAGTTGGAACATTCACGTCATTGGTGCGAGTTTAACTTGTTATTGAATTCATAGGGCTGGCGAAATAGAGGACCATATCCTCATTTTTTACAAAGCTCTAAAGAACTTTTCAGTTAAAAGTAAAAAATATGAGTGTACACTCTTTTTTATAAGAAATTAGGATATTTTTCACTACTCAAAGTTTCTTTATCTTTGGCTAATTAGGGTAGAGTTTGGGAATTAAGTAGTTTGGGAGGGAAGGCAATTAGATTCACTATTATTGGATCTGAATAGGTACCCAGTACCCTTACTACCCAAGCTTAACCCTTGCCCTAATCCTACCCCACAGCCTGCACCTAACCGAACCTTACCCCACCCTGAGGGCACTTCCTGCATCTAGGTGCAGAGGTCTTCTGGTGCATTGTCTGGCGTAGACTTTAGATAGAATGCATCCTGGCAGAAATTATGGGGGCTGAAGCCCCCTGAATTAAAACCTAAATTAACACCCTTACCTAATTCATAAAGTCCGGACAGTGAACCCAATCCAAGTAAAGTGAACAAGCTTGAACCGCAAACCTCAAACTAATTGATATTAGATTTATTAAGAAAAGAAGAAAAAAATCCTTATCTTTCCGATCTGGTACCTGTTGAATATTTGTGCATGAGGGACCTTTGTTCGAGACAAGCACGTCACACGTACTGACAGGGAGGCCAAAATGAGCAGCACAAGCACTCTTCAAGTTAGGTAGAGTTATTTCGTCAAGTTCACATAATACAAATTCGCGTGGCTGAATCGGACGATAGGTTTGCTTGCTGTCGGGTTCTGAAGAAAGCTTCTGGACGACAATCTCGTGTGGGGCAGATCCGAGTTTTTTATTTTTATTTGATGCCTCGTTTTGTTTTGTTCTTTTGTTACTCATTACCTTGTAAAGTTTTTCCCAAGTATCATGCCTCTTCATGATTAATTCAAATTAAATAGGCTACCACGAGGTATGCGTTCTTGCAAAGCATTGTGGTCTATGAGAACGCTGGGCCGATCATGACATTTCATTTTGAAAATGAAAACGAAAATGTCTCTTTTGACGACTTTCAACGTGATTTTCAGAAACAAAAAGAAAAAATTCTATTTGAAACTTGGAAATGGAAATGTTTCTTTAATTTTTTATTATGTTTATTCTACTTTTTGACATGTTATTTTAAACTTCAAGAAAATAATTTGAATTTAATGTCAAATTTATCACAAATATCTGTGATTTTTTTATATTTCATAAAATATGTTTCTGTTTTTTGAATGAGAATGCTGGGCCACCATACCTGGACCCTACAAAGATTAAGTATAATAATAACCAATACATGTTTATACTACTCCAAACAATACTCCAAACTTAAATGGAAGTTCGTGGAACGAACAACCCTCTAGATTTCATGCAGCAGTTTCTTTTTAGCGGCTTCAATTTATGCAATTGTGTGCCATTGCTCTGTGAGACTATCATTTTCATAGCTGTCACTTCCGCGGTTGGTGCCTTGTACTTTGTTTATAAATTTATAAGCTAGATTCTTTAGTTTTTTTAGCATTTCCTTCCTCTATAGGATTACCTCTTGTCTCTTTTTTTCTTGGAATGAATCGAAACAGAAAGGAATATGTTTGCACAAGATACTGTCTTAACGGTCTATTGTAATACGAGTAAATAAATGCGTTTGCACTTGAATTTATTAGCAACAGCAAAAATGTCCAAACCAGGATCGTTTTGGTTTCCCCAAATTTGAACAACTCCCAATTCCAGAAAAGATAATTATGGAATATGGTGCACAAAAATTGATAACTGGAAAGAAAGAATGACGGGTGACTTGATCTTGCTGGGGCCATATCATGCCTGAGATGTTTTGGACCTTGACGGTATATGGTTGTCTTTTCCGTTTGTACAGCTTTTCACACTGTTCGCACAATTGGCGACAGACTATCGATATAACAGCTTAAATTCTAACGTAGCCCTGAAAGAGCCACATAGATAGCGAAAGACGCAAGTTTGACGGCGTAGTAGACGTCACTGTAATTTGTTACAAGTATGACGGTGAAAGCTAAAAGCAGAACACAGAAAATAGTACACATCAGGACGTACTTACGAACGGCTTGCCATCGAAAAAACACGTCTTGCATCGGGTATTTTAAAACTATAAGCCGTTCAATGCCGATAGTCAAGACAGTTGTAAAG